TTTGGCAAGTTAATTTATGGTTAAAATAGTCACAAAAGATAAAATAGATTATTTTAATCACAACAAATAAAATATCACATCTAACCTATAATCATTACTCTTCTCTCAAAAAAAAATTTAAAAAACTAAAAAGTCTTTTCCAAACCAAACTTTTTAACCCAAGTTAAAATAATTAAAAAAACTAAAAAATTAAAAAACCAACCCACTTCCCAAACGGAGGCCCATATATATATATTTTAGTGAACCCTATTTACATTATATAATAACACTAATACATTAAAATTGACTGACTCTCTAATATAATATAGGTAGTTTTAGAATACAAGTCTGTCAACCTCCCTCTCTATATTCTTTCTTGTTTCAAACAAAAGTACATTCAACCCACCAATGCTATTCATCCAAAACAAAAACTCACAAAGGAAAAGAAAGTGAAAAAGATTGAGCACCCATCAAAGCCAAGAATTTATTTTTTCTGTTCATCTTCTTGTTTGAAATCTAGGGTTTTCTGGGTCATTTGAATAAGGATTGATTGAAGGGAAAAGAGAGAGAGACGGGTCAATGGCGCAAAATGGGCAGGGGATGGACCCTGCGGTACTTGATGAGATAATCAATCGGCTATTGGAGTCTCGGCAAGCGAGGACTGTGCGGCCTGTCCAGCTCGCCGAACCCGAGATCCGACAGCTCTGCAACGTTTCTAGAGAGATCTTCCTCCAACAACCCAATCTCTTAGAGCTCGAAGCTCCCATCAAGATCTGCGGTAATCTCTCTCTCTCTCTCTGTTGTGTATGTGTATATATTTGGATTCGAATTTGCACGCTATGTTTATGATTTTTTGGGTTATATATATATATATATATACATGTTTTTGAATGGGATATAGAGGAGTTGTGGGAAGAAAGTTGGGATTTTTTATTTTTTTTTCTGGGCAATGCAGGTGGTGAGAGATTGCCTTTATGCCATTGTTGGGCATATAGGGCATGTTAACACGATTATTGTTTTCTTTGTTCATTATTGGTATTGTGTGAAATCCCAAAAGTTGGTATTATTTTTTAATTTCTTTTTAATGGTGGCTACATTTGTGCTCCTCTTTTTGGCTAAGAGTGGATCAAGGATGGGATATGTTTAGACTTGTAAGAGTGCTTACTGATAAGATTGAGTAAGTTGAGTTTTTCAATCATCCATAATTTGATACTTCTGACTGTTAAATTTAGGCCTAGTCTTATTCTCTCTCCTTTTTTTTCTTCTTTTTTTTAAAAAAAAAAAATTGTTTTTGAGAAGAACACAAGCCTAGCCTAAAAAAAAAAAACCCCTCGTAGTCCTAGAGGCTAGGCTAAAAACCCAAAAAATAAAACTCGAAAGTGAAGAACATCTGACAACCTGAGAGGGATAGGCTCAAGAAGAGAAAAACGCCAACACAATCTGCAAAGAAATTAGCCCCCATCTCATTGATCAATTTGTTAAAACTTAGCAATTTTGAACGCTTGAGGCATGATTTTCTAGGTTTGATGGATAGATTTGCAATCTTCTTTCCTCTAACAAGCTTAAGATTGTGGATAGTTTGATTTAACTTCTTTCAATTGGCATCCCTAGGGGAAGGAGAGCTTACCACATTCCCTTTTTCTTCATTCTTACACGGGCAAATATTTGCCTCAATTATCTATTGTTGTGGTGAATCTCAATGTCTCCATTATCTTCTTCCTCAACAATACCCTTTGATTGATTAACATTAGATTTTTTGATTGGCAAATTGCTTTATTCTTACTTTCTGAAATACCTTTTGGTTCTTGCCCTTAGGATAGCATGAGGCAAGTACTTCAAAATAATTTGAAGACGATGCATCATCCAATAAATGGTTCACCTTTTATCTCTTTAGAATTAGCATCTATAACACCTTCACCCTTTATTTTCTTCACCTCATCCCAGCCACAATCTTTCAACTCAACTCCACTCTCTTTAACTCTGTATTCTTGCTTAGATTTGGATGTGCTTGAGTTGAAAAGCTTGGTAATATATGGGCAAGATTTAGTAATTTGATCAAAAATCTTACATTATTCACAAAATTTGGGGATACTGATATGTTGTTGTTGTAGATGTTGTCATTTTTATTATTATTAATTTATTATTGGCTATAGAGTTGTTAAGAAATTCAGTTTTTTTTCTTTCTTTTTTTTTGGTTTTGCTAGGGTAGGGGGAAGCGGAGTTAAAATTCCCTGACCAACCATTAGGTTAAGGCACCTGAATATGACTTGTGCCACCAATTGTGCTACATGTTGAGGGTGTTCTTTGTGAGATTTATTAGTTAAACGGTTAAAATATAATGCGAACCTGATATAGTAATGGTAATTGTTTTAGTGGAAGTATAATTAGTGTATTTGATTTCAGTTTTTTGGAAATTGAGTTTTTCATTTTCTTTGTTTTTAGTGAATATTTTTAAAATTTTAATCAATTTTTTTACTTTTTTAGATGCACCTTACTTAGATGTATCTAAATAGTAAAATATTTGTGAAAAAATATTTTAAAAAATTAATAAATATACAAAAATACGAAAAATGTATTGAATTTTCGTTTTATTTTTGGTATTTAGTGAATTTTTAAAAGATAAATAGCTGATGGGATGGTGGAGTATGGGATATTTTGCTCTAGTGTAATGAAGTTCAAAGTTCAATACTTTCTCTTTCCTTTAACTAGTGGTGTTACAGGTGAAATACATGTATGACTTTGGCTTTGTTGGTTTTCCATTGTTCCTTCTCTGCATACAATTGAATATTGCTTAGGTTTTTTTCATTTTTTCTTTTTACTTTATTCCGGAGTAAATGAGAAAAGGTTGTCATAGAGGGCCTTTGTGGAAAATGAAAAGGAACTTATGCCACATGCTATTTATCTATCAATAAATAAATGCAATAATAATTTAGCATATTAATTTTATTGTTTTAATGGAGCAAAATCATAATCCAAAGGAAGACAAAAAAAAAAAAAAACAAACACCACACCTGCACACACATAAAAAAGAAACAATCATTTGCTAATCTTGCCAAAGGCTGGTATTGGAATTGCAGAAAATTATGAAACATGAATAGGAATTAAGAAAAAGATTCATGTTTAGATGATTGTACCATGAGGATGCTTTAATATTTGCTAGTTGTGACAGCATTAGAGAAATTTTAGGGTTGGTTATGAAGAAACACTGTATCTCATTGATATGTGACAGTGATCTTAAGATCCATTTTCAAAATGTTTTGGTTAGTAAGTTAGGTTTTAGAAACCATGTTGCTCCGAGTTTTATATGCTTCTGTTCTTGGTTCACTTCTATGTAACTTTCTTATTAATTTTTGCTATTTCTTTGTTATCAAAGTTTTATTATCCTAATCTGAAAGAATTTTAAAGTATAAGCTAGTGGCACTCAGCCAAGACACACCTCATTAATTGGCCCAAGATGTGACAAGCAGGTGAAATTGGCTTTAACTTGTCAATTAACGAGGTCAAAGAAGCCATTGGAGCTGGCCTGTGGTAGTTTGGCAGGCACTGTGGCTTATTTTACTGTCCTAGGCCTTATTAGTTATATTGGTGTGATGCATATCACTTATTTTAATGGTAGGGCACAGTGGCTTTTGCTTGGATTTTGGACTGCGGCTTGAAGAAGTCTATTATTATGAGAGTATCCATACACTAAGAACTTAAGCACACAGATGAAGATCTTTTAAATGAGGGAATGAGTCATCAAGGAAGATGATGATGTCGTACTTCACATCTGGAAAGTAGTTATTAGTTAATACAAGGTACTTGTCAAAACAATTATTAATAAATTAGAATCTTGCTTTAATTTTAGCAGAATTTTCATTATTGTTCTAGAAGCATTGGAAGAATGTTTGCAGATCTTGTGTTTCTGCTCTATCAAAGCCCTCCTTGATGCAAATTCAAACTAAGTTGTGCTTATCTTTTGTATGTCTTGGAGTTTTTCTAGTTTTTCTAACTTCCGTGCTTTCGAATTTCTTTTGTTTTTATTTTTTTTTTAATTTCAGGTGACATTCATGGGCAATATAGTGATCTTTTAAGGCTTTTTGAATATGGAGGTTTTCCTCCTGAAGCCAAGTACTTGTTCCTAGGGGACTATGTGGACCGTGGCAAGCAGAGTTTGGAAACAATATGCCTTCTGCTTGCCTATAAAATTAAATACCCTGATAACTTCTACCTTTTAAGGGGAAATCATGAATGTGCTTCTATCAACCGGATATATGGCTTTTATGATGAATGTAAACGCCGGTTTAATGTGAGACTTTGGAAAATCTTTACTGATTGTTTTAACTGTCTCCCTGTGGCTGCTGTCATAGATGACAAAATATTGTGCATGCATGGTGGCCTTTCCCCTGACCTAACAAGCATGGATCAGATTAAAAACTTACCTCGTCCAACTGATGTTCCCGACTCTGGTGTGCTTTGTGATTTACTCTGGTCAGATCCTAGTAAGGAGATGAAAGGCTGGGGAATGAATGATAGAGGGGTTTCGTACACCTTTGGCTCTGATAAGGTGGCAGAATTTTTAATGCAGCACGATATGGACCTTGTTTGTCGTGCCCATCAGGTTATTGACAGTCCTTTTTGTTTTTTTCATGCCTAGGTGACTCATGCTGTTAATTAGAAATTTTCTTTTCCAGGTTGTGGAGGATGGGTATGAATTCTTTGCTGACAGACAGCTTGTTACAATATTCTCTGCCCCAAACTATTGCGGTGAATTTGATAATGCTGGTGCAATGATGAGTGTTGATGAAAGCTTAGTGTGCTCTTTCCAGATTTTGAAGCCAGCAGACAGAAAGCCTAGGTTTTTTTGAACAAAGATAAGATAACTGCAGTCTTGATTTTGAATTTCTAAGGTCAGTTTCACGTTTGCTTTTGTTCCATTACCTTTCAAATTTCATTCTATCTATGCAATCTCAAGCCAACTTCTTTGTGTTATTTGTGGAGGATGTTTGCTTTGCCTTGTTTGCTTTGATGACTGAGGAAAAGGAAACAAGCTTAATTTCGAACCTTGAATTTGTTAATAGTTAGTCCTCCACTCTTTCGTGACTAAGACAGTTATTTGTCTTATTTGCCTTTGGTTCTTCTTTTTCTAACCCTAACAATATAAAACAAGATCGGACTTTTACTTTATTTTCTTAGATTTATTTTTTCCTCCTAGTTCTTTTTGTGACTTATGGATGTTAAGATACTTTGGCTTTACATATATATACAATACAACATATATTTTGTTTGTGCCATGTTTTGTCTCTTATAGGTGTTCTCACATTTTTCTACTTATTTGTTAAATAATTGGGTAGATTACACTTTGTCCCCACTAAAGTACTGGCCAAGTCTCACTTTGTCTCTTAAACTACAAATTTATGCCACATAGTGCTTATTTGACCTAACTTGACCCCAACGTAGCTCTGATCTGGGGGAAACCTATGGAATTTTAAAAGGGCAAATTCATTTTAACGAACTTACCCTTATCTTTATTTTCTTTCCCAAATCAATATGAAAACCCTGACCCTCCCTACCAAAGCTACTTGCTACCACCACCTCTCCCCTCCAACATCATCCGCGCCATCCCCAGTTACCTCCTTACCAGCCACTTTGCTACTACCATTTCTCCCCTCCTCCATCACCCCTGTGACCCCCAACCACCCATTGCCCCTCACTATCACTCTCTTTCAACTCTTGCCTCATCATCCAAAACAAAAACTCACAAAAGAAAAGAAAGTGAAAAAGATTGAGCACCCATCAAAGCCAAGAATTTATTTTTTCTGTTCATCTTCTTGTTTGAAATCTAGGGTTTTCTGGGTCATTTGAATAAGGATTGATTGAAGGGAAAAGAGAGAGAGACGGAGAGAAAGAGAGAGTGAGAGAGAGAGAGGAAAGAGGGAGAGTGTTTGATTTTCATGTTCTGATTAGTGTATTATATATATATACACATTAATTGATTTTATATGTGTGTGTGTGCAACTTAAAAAATTTATATTATATATTTATTTTGACAATATATATATATGTTATATATGTATAGGTATACCTTAAGATGTTGTTAAATTTTAAGTTAAGTTGTAATGTTAGAAATTAGGTTAAAAAATTAGGGATATATATACTAGAGGAGAGAAGAAGAGAAGAAACGGTATGAAAAAAAAGAAGATAGAAGGATACTAAGGTCAATTTGCATTTGATGTTAATAGTATTAGGATTACACTTTAATCCAAAACCACGCGAGGGTTTTCTTTTTTGCTTTTTGTAAATGTCAATGCTCTAAAGCTATATCCTGGGGAGGTCAAATAAATTTTGCCCAATTTTAAATATTTCTCCATCATATGGTTCTTTCTCTTTCTCTCTCTCTCTACCATCATGTCCCTTCCTCTATAATTTCCCCCTTGCCTCCCCAACCCCCTCTACGGCACCCCCATCATAGACCACTTCCCTTCCCTACCACAACCAATCACAATTGAACTTATAGAACCACCATACCAAACCATCCCAATGGCTACACAAACAACTCATCACCACAATGACTAACTACTGGGGTTGTTCATCAAACCTTCCAATTGATCAATCCGAACCAAACCGACGACAAACAGTCGGCTTCAACAACTTACTCGGTCAGCAACGGTTATGAAATTGCAAAAAAAAGTTCACTTGCGGTCAGTGACAAGTGTGTGAGAGACAGAGCCGATCAAACCGATCCGACCGAAAGTCAATATTAAACAAATTAAAAGACGTGGTTGCTTTACATTCACTCATTTAGATTGCACTCATCTTCTCAGTTCTTTTTCACCTGTAACATATTATACATGGCTCTATATTCAAAGAGTCATATCACTATTATTTACTCTCTTTAATTACAGTAAGTGGCGCTCTCTCTCTTTTGCAAAGTCTTTTTCTCTTCCCGAGAAACACTCTATCAGTCAAGAAACCTCTCTCACCATTGAAAAATTATTGGTTAGTCCTAGGGCACCACGTGGTCATGCTCCAGACCAATCACAAACTCCTATGCTTCCTCATGTTTCTCAATCACCTAACACAAAAGCCCGGGCCCTACCTTCTCCACCAATCACAATGCATGTGGAGCACCATGTAGCGCTGCCCCTTGACCAACCAATAACTTCTCCTCACCAATTCAATATTCCTCTCCCCAAGAAACCCCTCTCTCACTACCTTCAATATTCCTCTCCAGAAAATTTCTCTCTCTCTCTCTCACAAGAAACCCCCACTTCTTTCAATATTCCTCCCCAGAAATCCATTCCCATCTTTTAACGATAGCAGCAACACTAATGCTAGTTGACGGCAACAATGGTGCCGGTGCATATCGACTGATATAGGTATTATGTCGCTGGTGTGGATTGACAGAAGTAGTGGCGGTGGCATTGAAAGACAAAGTGCTTCTCTCCTCTTTCACTCATTATTTCTCTTCCCCTCAAAGCAGTGTGCTTGTTTCAATATGTTTTTGTTGAATCTCTCATATTTGTGTCTTCCACTTTATTCATACATGTTTGAATACAAAGATTAGAGAGAGTAGGTTGTAGATTGAGTTGTGTATGTAGCACCGACCGAACCAACCATCAAACCGGACGCTTTATTTCGGTGAATTTCGAATACCATTTCGATCGACAGTGGTTTTCCATTTTCTCAAACCGATACACTTGGTTCGGCTGACGGTTTGAGGGTAGACCCGATCCAAACCGACTTGTGATTCTGAACACCCCTACTACCTACGACTGCAACGATAATCACACAAGCCACACATCCAATCTATTTTCATCTCTTTTTTTTTCCCCCTCTTAGTTAAGCTATCAATACCCATGCATTTAGTGGTGACTCAAATGGCCTGATTACGCAGACCCAACAACTAACCACCTCTCTCTCTCTTTCTCTCTCTCTCTCTTCCATTACAAACGATCCACCACCACCATCGCTACAACGGGTTGGCTAGGTCTGGTGGAGAGGAGAAGAGGGAGAGGCATGGGTTCAACTTGTGATGGTGAGGGCGAGAAGAGAAGAGGTGAAGGAGATGATGACAGGTGTGGTAGTCGGTAGGGAGGTGGGGTGGGAGAGGGGAGAAGGGTGAGTTGATATGTGGTGGCAAGAATATAGTTAAGCGAAAGAAGATAAGCGGGGAGAGAGAGAGAGAGAGAGAGAGTGTGTGTGTGTGTGTGTGTGTGTGTGTGTGTGTGTGTGTGTGTGAGTTTTGTGGGTGTGGTGTGGGGATGGAAGTGGCAATTTGGTGGTGGGAACCATGGTGGGCAAGATTTTTTAAAGATTCCATGGACTGCCCTTGAGTTGGCTTAGTGCCATATGGCATTTTTTTGTCAATCAATTGGACAATAGTTATTAATTGGGCTACATTGGAAAAAATAATAGGTCAAGGATGAAATTGGGAAAATTTAAAGTTAAGGGTCAAAGTGAAAATTTGCCAATATTTTAGGGGGCAAAGTGTAATTTGCCCTAAATAATTTACTTATTAGGTTCCAATACATACTACTAGCTCCATTTCTTTTCTAATTATGTTCTCATGGGATTGATTGTTATGTGAAGGGCAATTGTCCAGAAAACATGGTTCATCGTCTGCTTCGTGTACTTGTTGATGTACAACAATATCATGATGAAGTTTTATTCCATATGTCACTGCCTCAACAACCGCTACCTCTATGGCCATTACAGCCATTATCTCCTCCACTCACGGCATTGCCATCACTATAGCTCTTCATTGTCGCCTTTGCACCACTTCCCCCTACCACCATTGCGATTGCTGCTGCTAGCCTGCTACCAATAAAGCACAGCCCCACCATTGTTATCTCCATCTGCTGCATTGCTGTCTTTTCTCTTGTCTGTATTTAACAGAACACTATTTTTTAATAACACCTACCAAGCATTCTTTTGACTTTTTATCATTGTAATTGGTGATTGCTGTACTTTGGAGTAATTTCATTCTTGGAGAACATTGAAACCTCTTTTATGTTTTTTTTTCATTTTTGGATTAAAGATATTTTTTGTAACTCTTCTTTTGCTTTTGTTACTTTTGTGGGGAGTTGTCTTTAGTAGAGGGCTTGTAGTTGACTTTTTTCTATACCCTAATGTAAAGAGGCTGCCCTCTTTTTTGGCACCTTTCTCTATGTGTTGGGTTTCTTGTCCTCCGATTCCTTTGTAACCCCCTCCTTTTGTTTTTAATGACATACTTGTTTGTTGCCGTTAAAAAGAAAAAGTTGGGGTTGATTGTTGGTGGATGTATTAATCCTTTCTTTTTTTTTTCCCCCCATTTTCTGACCTGATGGACTGGGTTCATTTTTTTACTGCAATCAAATAATGGGACCTCCTCTGTATGGAATTAAAAATAATTGTGATTACATTAGTAAAATGATGCAGAATATAACCTCCTCTGTATGGAATTAGAAATAAGAGTAAAAAAAATGTAAAATGAAGATGTCCACAAATATTTTTTCTTCATTGTCTGTAGAATGTGACGGAGACGATTGAGAGAAGACTCTTCATGCCAAATGGCATCCACAAATGCGTTTGTTTTGTGTAAATAACACGTGAAAAAACGCATTGTCAAACCACTACCTAGTAATTGATATCAGTGGTTCTCATCCGAGCTATTCAGCTATTCATTCTATGGCATTTCTTTAAACATTTTTGTTTCTGAATTCTGAATGCCTAATCCGCAATGTCCATTTTTGTTATAGCTCTCTCTGCTGTATGTTTCCTGCCCATTTGTGAGTTGATGCGGAACGCTGGAAGATGCTGTGGCTCGGAGCTTCTTAGAAGTTGAGATGTAAACATGGTATCATTATATTATCCATTTAGAAGGCATTAAACATTTTGCTGAAGTATTTTGTGTTTTAAGGTTAGGATGTCTTGATTTGGCTGCAACTGTTTTGTGGGGTGGCCACAATACAAGTGCCAAAGGTATTTTTATCCTATTTAATTTTTTTTTTTTAACTGGTGCAATTTACGGTGGCTGTGTAAATACATTCAGTTTTGTAAATTGCAATGCACTTGTAGATTGTAGAAACCATTTTAAAGATCTTCAGAAGCTATTCTAATGAATCCCCAATTGTTTAGTTATGAATTTATTGAGTATAAGTTTTAATGTTTATAGCGTTGGAAGTTTCAGGGGTTAAAAAGGAAACCTAGACATTCATCGCATCAGTTTATTTGATGAGATTGCAAATGTGGATATATGTTGTTTCCTTTCGAGACAGACTAGTCTGCTTGATTATTGCTGATTCTCCTTGGCACTTGCTTGTTAAACTCGAAAACATGAACCATCTGTGATCACTTTGGAAAGTAATGAAGTTTTCTTTAATGTGGCATATCTGCAGATCTGACTTTTGTGTTTTTTTTTTTTTTTTTAGTAGGTGAGAGTGGGTGAAGTAGGTGGAGAGTAGGTGGTGGGTTAGGTTTAGTGGAGTAGGTGAGAGTGGGTGAAGTAGGTGGAGAGTAGGTGGTGGGTTAGGTTTAGTGGAGTAGGTGATGTGGTAGTGGTGTAGTGGGTTAGGTTTAGTGGAGTAGGTGAGGTGGTAGTGGTGGTAGGTGATGGTAAATTCTAACAGCCCCCCGCAAACTCAAGGAGGATAGAAACTAACCAACTTGAGTTTGAAGAGAGGAACAAAACAAGAAAAATAAGCTGACAAATAAAATTAAAAATGGATAGGAGACACTGTATGGTCGTGTCAGACCGTTGTAGAAGACTGTATGGTGATGGCAGACCGATGTAGAAGACAGTTTATGGGGTCATGTCGGACCGTTGTAGCAGACAATGTTGTGACAGTTGTTGTGACAGTTTACGGCTCTTGTAGAAACTAACCGGAATCAATGTCGGGACAGTTTACAGAGTCTTGTCAGACCCATAAAGGAGCTAACCGGAATCAATGTCGGGACAGTTTACAGAGTCTTGTCAGACCCATAAAGGAGCTAACCGGAATCAATGTCGGGACAGTTTACAGAGTCTTGTCGGACCAATAAAGGAGCTAACCGGAATCAATGTCGGGACAGTTTACAGAGTCTTGTCGGACCAATAAAGGAGCTAACCGGAATCAATGTCGGGACAGTTTACAGAGTCTTGTCGGACCAATAAAGGAGCTAACCGGAATCAATGTCGGGACAGTTTACAGAGTCTTGTCGGACCAATAAAGGAGCTAACCGGAATCAATGTCGGGACAGTTTACAGAGTCTTGTCGGACCAATAAAGGAGCTAACCGGAATCAATGTCGGGACAGTTTACAGAGTCTTGTCGGACCAATAAAGGAGCTAACCGGAATCAATGTCGGGACAGTTTACAGAGTCTTGTCGGACCAATAAAGGAGCTAACCGGAATCAATGTCGGGACAGTTTACAGAGTCTTGTCGGACCAATAAAGGAGCTAACCGGAATCAATGTCGGGACAGTTTACAGAGTCTTGTCGGACCAATAAAGGAGCTAACCGGAATCAATGTCGGGACAGTTTACAGAGTCTTGTCGGACCAATAAAGGAGCTAACCGGAATCAATGTCGGGACAGTTTACAGAGTCTTGTCGGACCAATAAAGGAGCTAACCGGAATCAATGTCGGGACAGTTTACAGAGTCTTGTCGGACCAATAAAGGAGCTAACCGGAATCAATGTCGGGACAGTTTACAGAGTCTTGTCGGACCAATAAAGGAGCTAACCGGAATCAATGTCGGGACAGTTTACAGAGTCTTGTCGGACCAATAAAGGAGCTAACCGGAATCAATGTCGGGACAGTTTACAGAGTCTTGTCGGACCAATAAAGGAGCTAACCGGAATCAATGTCGGGACAGTTTACAGAGTCTTGTCGGACCAATAAAGGAGCTAACCGGAATCAATGTCGGGACAGTTTACAGAGTCTTGTCGGACCAATAAAGGAGCTAACCGGAATCAATGTCGGGACAGTTTACAGAGTCTTGTCGGACCAATAAAGGAGCTAACCGGAATCAATGTCGGGACAGTTTACAGAGTCTTGTCGGACCAATAAAGGAGCTAACCGGAATGTGTCCTTGAGTGGAGAGAGAGAGAGTGCCTGAGGCTATCCACAGAACAAGGAGAGAGAGAACAATAATCATCGCATTCTATCAAAGAAAAGTGAGACGGAAAAAAGAAGAGAAACAAGAAGATCCAGCTGAGGTGAGCTTAAACACAGGACCAAAGAGGAGCAGTAGATCGCTTCTTTGAACCGTTTTGTTTCTTATCAGCAGCTGCATCTGCAGCCTTTCTCTTGTCCTTCCTCTCCCTCTTCTTCAAATTAACCTCTCTGTCTTCATATACTTTTCTTTCATTTTGGGCAAGTTTTGAAGGCCACCAAATAGCAGGCTCAAATGTTAAAGGAAACTTTTCAAGCATGACTCCAAGTAAGGGAAGTGGGTATGCTTGGTCAAGTGCCAAAACCTTCTCCATTGTCTCATTCACATCATTTTGATTGACGTCGCGAAGAGCCAGAATGATTTCAATTTTTTCCATAGATTTGCTTAAACAACCGGGCAGCGCTGCGCTGTTCTTCAGCAAGTTGTGATGGTTGGAGCTTGTTCATCACCATCAACATCCCTGTGGCTGCACAAAACAAGAGTGTTGATGACAATTTAAAAGCAAAAAGTGGCACTCCAATGGCAGCAATAGTATTGCTTGCTGCAAGTCCTGCCATGGTCGCGGCAGAGAGAGTGATTGTGTTGATAGAGCTCAGAAGAAGGGCGTTCCAGTTGACATTGAAGAGGGAGAGATTGACGAGACTGGGGTGGAGCCACGTGACATTGATTTGGTGATGACACAGGCAGGTGTATCAAGGGGTAAAGCTGTCAAGGCTCTCAAGACTCACAATGGAGACATAGTCTGAAAGTATTTGGACAATGATGGGAAGGTATGTGAAGAAAATAAATGGAATAGGTTGAGGTCCGGAATGAAGATATGTGTAGAGGTCCGGCGGGCGGCCAAGGCGAGGCTGCCGCCCGCCGGTGAAGCAGAATTACTAGCTTCTCAACCTTGCTCTGATACCATGTAAAAATAAATGTATTATTGATTGATATATTGATTAATATTCTGTCTATTACAAATGGTTCCTTATATAGATGTAGGTGTAGTGGATGTAGGTGTAGTGGATGGTGGTAGTGGTGTAGTGGGTTAGGTTTAGTGGAGTAGGTGAGGTGGTAGTGGTGTAGTGGGTTAGGTTTAGTGGAGTAGGTAGGTGAGGTGGTAGTGGTGTAGTGGGTTAGGTTTAGTGGAGTAGGTGAGGTGGTAGTGGTGGTAGGTGATGGTAAATTCTAACAATTAACATAGCTAGTTTTAGGTGCTTAGTTCTTTTTACTAATGTGACAATATCTAATATTGATGATTAGTCTAACAGCTCCTGATTCTAATGAGCATGATGTGCTCCTAAACATGGTCATATTAGTTTGAACTGTCCAAGTCTAGAAGTTGGAAACTAAGGTTGTGTTTGGATCATGGAATTGGAAATAGAAAAGAAAAGAAAAGGCGAGAAGAATAGAGAAAAAATTTAGCTTATATATTATTCATATTTCTCGTGTTTTTCTTTTTCTTGTTCTTTTCATTTTCAAATTTTCATGATCCAAACATTGGTTGTTTGGTTGCATCCATCTAGTCTGTATTGCCAGGATGAGGTTTAGTCATTTGTGGTCCATTGGGTCATGGATCCACTGAATTGTAGACATGTACTATGCTTGCAAGGTTGCCAAGTTTTCAGTTTTTTGTTCGCAACAATAAAAATAAATAACACGTTTTCAAAATAAATAAAGATACAAACAATAAAACACATTTGGTGAGTTTTTGGAGGGGAATCGTTGGAAGGGTGAGTGGCTGAAAGGGGTTACTAGAGGAAGGGATTGCGAGAGAGGGAGAGAGAGGAGGTCGGAAAGAGTTACCGGAGTGAGTTGTCCAGGGTGAGGGAGGAGTGGTTGGAAGATGGAGAGGGAGAGTGTTTGGAAGAGGTTGCTGAAGGAGGAGGGGGATTGGTTTTGTTGGAGGGAGGAGAGGAACGAAAACTTGTTTTCGAATTAGTAAATGAAAACTCGTTTGGCACTTGATTTTTGTTTAAAAAATATTTGAAAACATTGATTTTTTTTTTTTTTTTTATAATAAATAAATAATTTTAATCACTAAAATCACTGATATGAAATAAAATGTTTGAATTACATACATGTAACGGTGGTTTCGATGATCGAATTTTTCAGTCTGTAGCATCATTAATCAGTGTTGGTTTATGGGCCTAACTTCAACATATGAGATATTTTCCTTTCCTTGACCAGGAAAAAAAAATATATACATGTATATTGGCTCACAAATGATGAGAGTTACCAAAAGTATTCTCATTCGCTCACAAATTGATAAAATTCTTGAACTTCACATGGATTATGAAATTAATGACATTCAGGTAAAATCACAATCTTCGTTAATGATGTCTAGACATGTCTAATAGAGAAGATAAATGTCATTTTTGAAATTTGAGAAGAGGTTTTTGTCATAAATTTTAAGGTGGTCAATGTATTTTACTCTATTCTTAAAAAAAAAAAATGATTTGACAAATTTTGTTTGATTAGAAGAAAAATATAAACAGTGAAAGTGAAAAAGAAAAATGAAAAATGAAAAAAAATATTTTCTTCCAAGTATTTAATTAGAATAAAAATTTTACAACAAAAAGAATAAAAAAAAATTAAAATTTTAATTATAAATAATCTCTTATATAAACAAATTTATATGACCACTTGGGCTACAATTTAGTGACCACTTGGGCTACAATTTAGCACTCATGAGAAACACATAAAGTCACGGGTTGTCATATTATTCTTTTTATTTTTTTATAAAATATTAAAAAATAATTAAAATAACCAATTCTTAAACAAGCTCTAAGTGTCAGTGAGCTGAAATCTCAAATTCTAATTAATAAAGTGGTGTCAATTTGTTATAATAATAATAATTTAATTCTATGAACTTATTAATAGTGTTAAAAAAAACGTTTGCATATATATATATATATATTTTGTAAAAACTTAAAGACTTAAATGGTGTTTGATAAAATTAAAAAATGAAAATTAAATATTAAAAATTGAATGTTGAATGTTGAATTTTTTTAAACTAAAAATTTGTTTGATAAAAATATAAGATCAAATTTAAGATTTATTGTTTTTAAATTGTATTTTTTAATATTTATATTGTGACAGTGAGTTGTTAGTAGTAGCAACGGTGATATTACAAGAGTGGTTATTGTGGTGGTGGAATAATAGTGATAATTATGACAAGAATGACAATGGTTGTGGAGATGAAGGATTATAGTAGTTATTGTGATAGTGGTAGCAATTACTATAACGACTGTGGTATGGTGGTGAAACGATGGTGTTATTTATGACAATAATAATAAAGGTAAGTAAAAGTGATGGTAGTAATAGTGTCAACGATAATAGTGAAATGATGGTGGTGTTTTGACAATGGTGATGAAAGTGGTGATAGTAATAGTAATGGTAGTAGTGGTAGTGGTGGTAATGGTGATGACAGTGGTGTAGTGAGTTTATAATAGTGCATGTTGATGTTTATATTTTGTGTTTATAAATTCAGTTAGAATTAAATAAATTTAATATCACTCAAAAATTTCATAACTATCTTAAAGCTAAATGTATCAGGTGAAAATCAATTAAGTCTGTTTGATTATCAAATAATATCACTTAAAAATTTAAGTGTCGTTAAAAAAATTTAAAAAAATTAAACGATAATTTACTTACTTAATTTTGACTGAATTTATAAATAATTATATAAAAGTATCAACATACATTATTATAATTTCATAACTGTTGTCGCTACCACCATCACCACTATCGTCGCCTCCAATGTGGCTATCATCACCACCACCATCCTTTATCCTTCCACAACCACCGCCTTTATTACTATTGTCATTGTCACTATCACTATACGCAATTATTGTCGCCATTGCCATAACTATCTCCACCACCACGACCAACTCATTATCATAATATATAATTTAAAAATAATAAATAATAGATTTAATATTAGATTCTATCAAACAACTTGTTTTAATTCAATAGTTAAATTTTTTATCAAACAATTTTTCAACTTAAAAAAATCGATACTTAATTTTCAGTATTACTTTTTCAATTATGAATTTTATCAAACAATATTAATACAAGGGGAAATTTTATGGTATACACCTATGTGCACCCTTAGTTTTGTGTCTTTAATTATGACCTATCGTGTTGATACTTATTTTGAATATTAAGGTCTTATTTAGTTAGAGGTTATTTGGTTACAATAACTAATAAAGACAAAATAAACCAAAATAGTCAATAAAAAAAATGTTACATCTAATTTATAATTATTTCACTTTTTTTTCTTACAACCATCAAATCAATTACAAAAAAAAAATTAATTATCATTCTAAATATAACTTTTTTTAACCAAACTAAAATAACTAAAAAAGTCAAATAACTAATTAAAATAATTTATTCTCAAATGAAACCTAAATTATATAATTTGCAAACTCACGAAACACCTTGCATATGCTAGCATTTTGTTTTTTAAGAATGATACATTCCTCTAATTTGAGAGCTCTAAAAGAGCACTAATGATGCGAAAAAAAAAATTAAGACTAAAATATCACATCACATCGGACTCACACATCAATTAAAGCTATTAGAACATCTGCATCAGCCTCAGCAAATTTTGAGTCAAATTATAACTTAAGAAGCTATTTTCATATTTTAACTAGTCACCCACTGTATCAAACTCTCTATTTTAACTCAATCCTATTAAAATATTTGTTATTCTTTTTTTTATAATTAAATTGATGACCTATCAATCAAACAATTCTTATATTTTACAAAAGATAAAAGTGGAGGAAATGTAAAAAATAAAAATAAAAATATATATATATTTTGGCCGTTGACCGGTTGACCGGCCGGACGTCTGGTCGGACTTCCGGGTGGACATCCCGTTACACCCAAATCGCGTGTTGTAGCGATGAACAGTTCCTCGCTTTATCAGACAAGTTACTGTAGCAAATTTAACAAAAATTTGTTGAGACTGATGGAGGAAGAATTTGATGATTTATTAGTTATATTTTAAATTTTTGTTATTTTAAAGATACTGATGCTGATGCTCTTAGAGCTCTTAATTTAGAGCTCCCAACCTTTTTTATTTATTTTATTTTATTTTTTTTGAGATTTTTTTTTAACACACTCCTCTTTTAAAAATTATGTATTATAAACTGTAAGCTGTTAAGTTATAAATTATAAACGTTTTCTCACAGCTTTCAGGTTTACCAAACAGGGACATGGTATAACGCTTTTTTCCACCATGTTCGTCAAAATGAAACTCAGCCTTCAGCGCTTATCTCTCTCGCTCTAACACACACAGAGAGACACAATTCTGGGTGTAGTCTGGTCGAAGACATAGCACGGTATCTCTGGGCATTCGATCTGAAAGCATAAGAATGTTTTTCCACATAGTATTGGAGCGAAACATGCAGCTCCATCCTCGCCACTTCGGCCGCGATCTCCGAGAAAAGCTCGTCTCCAAGCTCATGAAAGACGTTGAAGGCACTTGCAGGTGTCCTTCGCTCTATTTCCATACTCATATCATCACTCTTCTCTTTCCACTTTTCTAGGGTTTTCTTTTTTTCCGAACAATTCAATTGATTCATGTTATTAAACAAAACCCTAATTTGATTTCACAGTGGTCGACATGGGTTCGTTGTAGCGATTACCGGTATTGAGAATGTCGGCAAAGGCCTAATTCGCGACGGCACTGGGTTCGTCACTTTCCCTGTCAAATACCAGTGTGTTGTGTTCCGACCCTTCAAAGGAGAGATCTTGGAAGCTGTTGTTACCATGGTCAACAAGGTATGCTTCGTCTTGTACCTTTACATTGATTCTTTTGGGTTAATTTCATTTTTATCCCTATACTATCACCATTTTTTCAATTTCATTCCTAAGCTATCAATTTCCTAAAATTGGTCCCTAAAGTTTGTAATTTCGGTTCATATGGTCTCATTGAAGACAATTATACAAAGACTAATGCTATACAAACAAACAAACAAACAAACAAACAAAAACTCCTACATAATTTTCATACATAATGATGTGGCTCAATGTGGACCCTTTCATTTCAAAACAAAACACTATTAAAGATGTATTTATTTACAATAATAGCATTGCATATCATTCTTGTCAAGTTTTTTTTGTATGAATTTTATGTAAGAATAGAGTTTTCCTTATACAAATTTTGAAGCCTAATTTGATGGGGGAGAAAATGTTATTTCAAATACAAGAAAACACTCATTTTTCTTCCTATTTGGAACAAACTGCACCCTACAACCAATTTAAAATGGTGCTTGGTTATATGATTTCAGTTGTTCAAATTATGAATTAAATTTTTGCCCATCAAATTAGGTTTCAACAGTAATTGACTTGTACAATTTTCTCCAATTGGACCACGTTAAAAGAAATCTGAAACTTTACGACTAAATAGACGAAACTGATAGTGTAGGATGAAGTAGAAAATTTGTGATAGTTTTAGGGGAGGAAAGTGAAATTAACCCATTTGTTTTTGTATCTACAAATATGCTAGTTCCAAGGATCATATTGTTGCTTCAGCATCATATTAGGTTTAAGTGTTAGTTGAGTTTGTGGAATTTAAAGCCTTTTGTATTATGTGATTATGTGAAATTTGTTAATATCTTTGGGATTATTGCAGATGGGATTTTTTGCTGAAGCTGGGCCAGTTCAAATTTTTGTGTCCAATCATGTGAGTCTATGATTCTTTTTTAAATCTTGTGTCTGGGCCAATGTGTGGTTGTGGTTTCAGTTTTTTTATTATTATAATTTCTTGTTATCATTGAGAACTTCAATTGAGTTATATGTTCCGTAGGCTTAGCAGATTTTCTCTTGTTCTATTTTTTTTGTGAACTATGGTTCTTTTTATTCATAAATTGAAGAAAAAATGGAAACTACAGTTGGTTGATTGATTGATTGATTGATTATCGGGAATTATGTACATTTACACTAAATTAACACTCTATGTGATTAGAAAAAAAGCCCATGACAGGAGCCCAAAGAGATTATGATAGGTTTTAATAGCAAAACAAGAGGAGAAATTATGATCTCATGAATCTCAATTCCAATATAGCATACAGTCAATAGATTCGTTATTAGATAAAGAGTTGGTTTGCTTCTAAAATTTATGGATTATGGATGAATTGAATATAGTCACTGTTGGATATATTAATTGAATAGTAATTTGGTTTTGACATTTGCATGTTATAAGTGAATACTAGGGAAAAAGGCAACTGATTTTTCATGCTTGTAGCTAGTGAGTTATACACGTTGAGTGACTTCCCATTACTCAACATCCCATCCCTTGGTTGAATTATTATACAGTTGTTAGGACCATGTGATGATATCTAAAGCTAATTGTGTTATAGAAATATTGTTATTTGAATTTCTTAAGGTTTTTCGATTGTTTTCTATAATGTAAAACAATAGGGTATTGAGTCTATTGATAATAGATAAACAACACAACATTTTTTTTTTCTTTTTGAGTTTTCAATTTACTGCCATCCAATAATATGTTGAAAAATGCTATATAATTTATTAAAACACTTAATTTCTTCAGTATTTAAAAAATAAAAAAAACATTTTGCTCCGTCTAAGAGTGACTGGTTGACAAGCATTCCCAGCCTATTAGCATGAATAGTAACCTTTCAGGGACCTGCCAGGACAACTTATTTCTCTGCTTAAAATTGCCTGGGCTCTGTTATGTTCATGAAGGGGCCCCATTTGCTTCAAAGTTTGACTTGGTGTTGTGGAAAGTTAATTTTGAGGAAACTTAAATCCACATCTTCATGAGTTCCTTCTCATGTTATTAGTACATAATTCAGACTTTGTTTTATGCTTATGTTTTAAGTATGTCAGCTGTTACCTTACTTTTTACTTTTCTGGTGATTGCTTCTCTCTTTAGATCAGGTTTGTTTAGCCAGAATAATTGAGATTATTTTTCAGAAACTTATCAACTTCTTTTTAAGTCACTGAGTCAGGTTACTGCTGGAGCTTCAATAGGAATGGCAACGGGCCGGGGATGCCACTCCCTGTCCCGGATCCCCGAAAGTAAAAACATCCCCATCCCCGTCCCTGCCTCTGGTCCCCGGCGGGAAAGTCATTACCTCCTCCACCCCAATCCCCTAACGGGGATTGGATTTTCCCGACCCCGAAAAATCCCCGACTTATCTGTTCACAATGCACACACTCACACCAACTATTCAGATCAACAACAATCATCAACAGCATTGTTCATCAACAACAACAGACAACAGATCGGTGGCAACAACTTAGAGATATATATATATATATATATATAACAACTTAAAAAAAATTAAACATCAACAAATATATATGTAGAGAGAGAGAGAGAGGGGGGGGCTTCACGGTCACTGTTTTGGTCCTGTTCAGATCGGTGGCAACGGAGGCTTCACGGACGGGCCACGGTTCAGGATCTGTTCAGATTCGGCGGTGGTGGATCTGGATGATTGTTGAGTGAGTGAATGAGTGAGGGAGAGATGAGAGAAACGGTAAGACTCAGAGAGAGAGATCTGAGTCAGTGAGTGAGGGATCGAGAGAGATGAGAGAAGTCAGTGAGGGAGAGAGAGAGATGAGAGACCGGGGAGACAGAATCTGAGTTAGTAAGTGAGGAGGGATAGAGAGAGATGAGAGGTCAGTGAGGGAGAGAAAGTTAAGATAGATAAGTTGAGTGTAGGTAGATATTATATTAGATATAATATAATATAATAGATATAATATAATATAGTAGTGCACTCCTAAACATATAAACATATATATCCAGTACACTCCTAAACATATATATATATATACGGGGGCTATTCGGGGACTTCGGGCCGGTGCTGGGCCAGGGCCGAGGCCAAGGAATCTATCACCGTCCTCGGCCCGAAAATCAGCGGGGATTTAATTTTCAATACCATCCCTGGCCCTATGGGGATTATTTTCGGGAAAAACCTATCTAATTGGGGTCGGGGGGTTGGGTCCCCGTCGGGCCGAGTTTAAATTGCCATCCCTAAGCTTCAATGATCAAATGATGCCACATTTCATTCAATTAAGTCAATTTTCCTAATCTGAATGGTTTTATGTTTGGTGTTTCTTCTCTTGAGATTTTTTTTTTTGTTTAGCCATTAAATAGTTCTTGGAAAATTTTAGACTTAAGCACACGCTTGCGCACATATGTGTTTATAGATATTTTTCTAATCCAAGTAGTAGAAGACACAGGGCAGGCACAATATGTGCCTTATGATTCTACTGCAAACTAATTATTAATAAAAAGGAGAAAAACACAATTGAAAAACTCATTTTCTACTTAAAAAGGGATACATGGATTGGTTTCTTCATCCTTCTATTGACATATCTCTTTGTTTTGCTTCCACTTCTTCATGTTGTTTTGAGTTTGGAGAGCATATAGATTTGTGAAGGAGGAGTGTATATATTACTAAGGTGGAAATTGGAATGCTTGGGTTATTTTTAAGATTATCTTAGTAGACCAAAATTTATTAAAATAGAAAAACATTATTTGCCATTGATTGACGAAGCTCTGCCTGCAAGTTAAACCTTGCATGAGCATGATAGAGCCTGAGGAGAATTTGTCATGTATCTTCAATTATCTTTTAAATATTTTTACCAAGATATTCATATGCTTTCCTCACAAGATAACTTTTGTAGTCGTAAACAGAGTCCAATGGATACATTTATATTATTTCTGAGACACCTGCATGTCCTCATCTATTCTTTTCAGTTGATACCGGATGATATGGAGTTCCAATCTGGAGATATGCCCAATTACACAACTTCAGATGGATCAGTATGTATCAGTTTCTACTTTCACAAGAAAAATGATTTTTGAATTTTGGAGTTCATTGATCTATGCTTGAAAATTGATCTCGTTGGCCCATATGCAGGTTAAGATTCAAAAGGAAAGTGAAGTTCGATTAAAGATTATTGGAACTCGAGTTGATGCTACAGAAATAGTACGCCCTCAATTTTATGTTTTCTTAACTTTTTTATAAAATATATATATATATACATAGTCAGGAAGCAATGACTTTTTGTTGTGGCTCCAAATTGAGTCTTAAATTGGTTCAGTAATTCACTTTTATGGTACAACTTAAAGTTCGCATTTACTCTCATAGTTGCGCATGCGTGTATTGTTGACACATGTTGTTAGCTTAGTTGATAATATAGTTTTGGTTCATTTAAACTTGACAGGAATTAATTTTAAGTAGGATGTGCCATTAGATGCTTAGTTGCAGGAATCGTGCTACCAAGTGACGAATCTTCGTAAGAAATGTGATTCCGCGTTTCTTAGAAAGAAACGTGTAGGAATCGCGTTTCTGTAGAGAGAGAAACGCGATCTTGTCCAAGATGGGATCGTTGGTGAAGAAGAACAAAAACCCTAGCTTGTTGGTCAACAAAGAGAGAGGAGAAAGAAGGTGAAGAAGAACCTGAAGGTTGTGTCTGGGTATGTCCTTTGCTTTGTTTTTCTTCTTTTTTCATCACTTCGAAGGTCGTCTCTCTCTCTCTGTGTTTTTCGTCTCTATCACAGTTCGTCTCTCTCTCTCTATTTTTCGTCTCTGTCGCAGTTCGTCTCTCTCTCTCTCTCGCAAATCATCTCCTCGTTGATCGTCATCGTCTCCTCTGCCTTCGTCTTTGCCTTCTCTCACTTGCGCTCTCTCTCTTTCTCTCTCTAACCTTTTGTCACGATATATACCTAATATATAAGTAAAATATATAAAAATGCACGAGAGAATGTGTCACTTGGAATATGAAGCTTAGCCCAAGGAGAAGTGTTTAAGATGTAGGTCAATACCTTGAATTATCCATTTCTAAAGAGGAAATTTAGTGGTATGGAACTGGAAAATGAGAAAAACTTTGGGCATATGGAGATCCTTTTCTGTGTGATTGTTGACCTCCAAGAAGTCAGATATTATGTTTAATTGTTGAAAATGCTATTGCCCCAACAACCAAATCCAAATGGGCCAAAGTCTCTTGATGGTTACCAAGACTTGAGGTCAGGTTCTCTCAGGAGTTTATGGGCTGTGAAAATGATTTCTCTTCATGTTTAAGAGTCAGAATGTGGCATGGTCCGACTTTGGAACCATTTCTTGGACAGTAATGATACAGTGACTAGATTTAGATACCAAATTTTAGACATCATTTGATATGTCTCCAACGCATTAGTTTAATGGGTCATACCTTTCATGGCTTGTACGTTATAGCAATCTATTATTGACACATTTGGTAACCAAATTTGGTCACTGTTGCATTCTGTTTCTCAGAACTTTATTCAATCAAGGATTTTTAAATCTTAAATAGTGTATTTAATATTTGTTCACGTAAATATGTATGCTCTTAATCAACATTGTATTTTATTTTATTTATTATTATATTTTCGGGGTTATGTTGTTCAACATCTTTGTTTTTTTTTTTGGTTGCCGTTGTTCATCGTCTAACGTGTTGTCTCCTTTTGCAGTTTTGTATTGGCACCATAAAGGATGATTTCTTGGGTGTGATCAGTGATCCAGGTGCTGCTTCTTAATGGAAGTGATATTCAATATATAGCTAGGAGCCTTGCTCTCAGTTTGCGTTTAAGAAATGGGAGTGTTTCAAACTGTTGAACTACTTTTGTCTGTAAACCAACGCCCCCCCTCCCCCAAGAAGTCATGCTATGTGGCTTCATCAACACTTGCTAACATAATGCTTACAGATTGTTCTGCCATTACAGTCCAGATTTGATAAAATAGAATGAAATGCAGTAACAGTATGTTTCTAGACTGTTCATGATGATGCTACATCGATGAAATGAAAAGCACTCTCTGTGTGATATTTTGCTGAGTACAGCACACATGACATCTGGAAGAATTGCCTAAGTGATGTTCAATTTACTTTTTCCCCCTGAAAAGCAAAAATGTTGAAAAAAAATGAGGGGCAATAAGGGCTGGCCACGGGTATTATGCTTAGAAACTAACAAAAAATAAATAATGATGTAATACTGTGAGGTCACAATGGTAAAATACTCGAGTAATTTACAATTCAATCATTTGATAGATGGGCAGAGTGCTCCAATTATGTTCTTCTGGCTGACATTTATGCAAAAAGAAAGATGTGGGATTGAGATAAAAAGAGTGAAGAAAATGCTGCTTGGGACTGCAGAAAGTGTCAGTTCTCAGTTGGGTTTAGGAAGATGTATTCATTCACTCACGTTGATGAATTCAACCCACACATTGAACGGGTCTATGCTTTATTCTTAGAGCTGTCAATGGAGATGGAGGAGAAGGGTTATGTGCCAGAGACCAAAGTTGCCATCTATGATCTTAAAGCTGAAGAGAATATGAACGAATTGTGTTAAGCCATAGTGAAAACTGGCAGTTAACTTCAGACTGATCAACAGCGCTTGTGTGAAGACCGTCATTCTGTGACAAATCTCATTTCCAAGTTCCCAAATAGAGAGATTCTAGTGTGAGATGTGAGCCGTCTCATCATTTTTAAACCGAGTTTGTTCATGCAGTGATTATTGGTAATCCTGTGGAAAATCTTTTTCCCTTTTCCCCTCAGCTTTCTCACTTCGCAATTTTTTCACTTTGTAATTTTTTACAAGATCTTCGAGAGATTTTGAACACGTACAGTTTCAAACACCAAGGCTATAAGCGATAACATACCTACTTCACTCTCATTTTGAATAAATGATGTTATATTTAAGAACAATTCATAATCTACAATGGTTAGCATTACATGTACTAAATGTTTAATTGTTTATGGCACCAAAATAAAAAATTTTAAAAAATGTGTATGAACCCCCATCAGATATTCCCTTAGTTTGTCACCGTGTAGGGGTAAGATAACGAACTTTCACAAACCCTGCTGTAAGCGGGACCCTTGTCTACAAAAGCCACTGATTTCCACATGGGATATGCCACCAAGGGGTTTGATCAATCCTGAAACTGCTCTGCATCTTCACTGCACCATCACAGAACCATCTTGCTTCATTTTAAGGAGATTGCTCTCAATGCTCCGCAATACAGGTTTATAGCTGCAACATGGAGTTGACCCAAAGGAAGAAAAAGAATTGAAGAAATGGAAAGGGCCTCAGTCAACATCACTTGTAAAAGGAGGGACAAAAAAAAATAAAAAAAAAAGATCAGGGAAGAGAACGTACAGTCGTGCAAGACCATTGTATGCTTGTGTGGCCTGTTGGAGTTGTGCTGAGAGCTGCAAGACCTCTGCTGATAGTGCTTCTGCTCTGCTCTGTTCTTTAGCAAGTTGACCCTAAAAACAAAGACCACTCAAATCAAAATTTTAAATATCGACCGTCATATCAAGATTTTAGATTTTTGATATTGTTATTTACCAATATATTAGCCGATAGTATCCAATATTGACTGATGTATGATCATATTGCCAATACCGTTACTACATATCCTATACTGTTATTTAGAACCATGACCCAGATGCGCTACTTTAACATACACTAGGTGAAATTACAGTAACCAGGGCAAAAGAGAGCCCAGTGGTCCTGGCTTCTCTTTACCAGGTTGCTAGCCTGGGTTTCGAGCCTCATTGTGGGTTTCATTCCTGCCACCCTTTACCCGTTGCCCTTAGCTTAGTAGTTAGTTCTACATGACGTACCAAAAAAATGAAACTGAAAGAAATTACAGTAACCTTCCCCTTTCTCCAAATAAGCCTGAGTAGGCTCCAAAGTTAAATTGATGACATCAGCAAAACACACACTAGATCAGCCAGTATCACTTCACAGTGTTAATTTTAAGAAAACATATTTTACTTCCCATGTGTATATATGCAAAACTATCATCTTTGGCCACGACTGACCTTGATGGAAAGAATTTCAGCTATATATGTCTGGGAACCAATCTCATTTCCCCCATCTTTCTTTGCTTCTAAAAGGCCTCTCTGGCTCTCCATGCCATTCAATGCTGGTGCATTAGCTTGTTCTGTCCTCAACTTATCTAACATGTTGCGGAGCTCCTCATTCTGCTTAAGACAGTCTTTTACCTGCAGGAATCGCATTATGCATATTATTGTTTTGAGGAAGAGATCCACATAACTTCCACGGAACTTAACAAGTAAAGATAATATAAGCATTCCTCATCCACGACAAGATGAAGGCAAATTACATAAATAAATGTCTTTTCAAGCTCAAGCTCAAGCCTATAGCTATAGTTTATCGCAAAGCCATGGGGTATCCTGATGTATAAACAAACATATGAATAGGTAAAGCAAAGGCAGATAGGTGTCTTGGATACAAGTATTGTAGTTCAATATCTGGCTTCATTGTGCAGCCAGTATTATTTCACATCTGATTAACTATTTTCCCTTGAATCAAAGGCTTAATCCAAAATCTCAACAGAGCATTGTACGTAAAATTCTCTCTTCTCAAACACAACAATATATTGTTTGATTAAATATTTGTCCTTAAAACTTCTGACACCCCCTTCATGAAGTTCTCTTTTGACATAATTGAGATCCTACATCTATATCTTAAACTTCCACCTCACCACAAATCTCCAGCAAGACAAATACATCAAGGCATGAATTCATTTTTCATGCAACTTGTCCAAGGGTTCAAATATGAGGAATAGGAGCTCAATTATGCGCTAAATTGATGGTCCTTAGTCAACATAAATTTTTACAAAAAAAAAGAAGTAAAATCACAATTGAAAACCATGAATGCTATAGGCATGCACAAAGGATAAAGAATTTTTATGCTTTCTTTGTTCATTTGACCAGGGTAGCTTTCATTGTGAACTCTAAATGAAATGAAAGCTAAACACCTAGGGAAGCAACTTTTTATGTCCAATCTCTAAAATGAAAATGTAATGCAGCCAATCCAAACACTGTAATTAAACCAAATTACACTGTCCAAGGTTATTCATAAACTACCTTGGGACAGCCTAAAGATCCATCAATAAGGGAGCAGGGAAAAAAACATAGAGAGAAAGAAACCACAAAAGGTGTCAACAGATTACTAAATCTGACAACCAGATTCTGTCAAACCTCCAGCACTAAGTACCTGATTCTCCCAGTGCACTACTACACCCGTTGCCTCTTGATAAGCAGATGAAAGATTAGAATTTTCCTCAAAAAGCTTCTCTATCTCTGAAGATTGGGAATCAATCTGTAAACAAGATTAAGCAGCAAACTGAAACTTCAAGTCCAGGTTATTGAATGAATTGAAATAGTAGGAAAGGATCTTACCTCCATTAGCAGTTTCTGTCTGCTGCTCTCCAATCTCTCAACCACCACTGCCATATCATGCAATTGCTTCTCAAGTCTCTCCTTGTCTTCCTGCAAAATAATATAAATGAATTAGTAGGATAATGAAATTGCGGAGACAGACACCTTTGTGCCTAGAGGGGAGTGAATAGGCCAAACTCTTAAAACAAATTACCAATTAAAAATTACCAGGTGGATTATTAACAGTTATTCAATCTCAAGATAGATCAAAAGTCTTCCACACAGTAACACACTAAATAAATCAAGATGATAGACATCATGACTTATGTGAAAAACCATTGAGAGCAACTGAACAACAATCAGTTCAGGTAAAAATCACGAGCACCCTACTGATCAAAATACATTTAATCAAATGTATAATACAAAAATTCAAGTAAACGAATTACAACCCAATCCCCGATGTGTCTCCCTTCAAGCTCGCGAGCTTGAACTCCACTAAACTACTGTCAATCTCCTCTTGTCTAATCTGATAATGAAATAATGAAATATACTCCATTTGAATTCAATGAAAATGTTAAAATAATAAGTAAAATAAAATTCCAAAAAGCAAAATAAAAATGTCACCTCTGTCAAGAACGAAATTCAAAATACTTAAGATTGACTAAAAACAACAATTTCCCCAAAATATGGTATTTTCTCTAACCTAAGATATTCTAGGTTCAATTTTAGTTTGTAATTACAAATATGCAAACAGATTGGTCATAGGATCTTCAACTATAGGAGTTTTGAAATTTTGCGTATTCACAGCTCCTCTTGGAAACTGTGTTGGAAGATGACTTTTTTTACTGTCACTGTACTCCCATGTAACACACTAAATACTTCATGGCTAAACGCATCTTAAACTAATGCAACATGCAGCATCCTTATACTACATAAGATAACACCCATCGCCTTGTCACTGGATCATATTCAATCTTCAACACTACACTTAGACCTATATGCCAATACTAGACGCCTAGTATAAGTTTTGTATACACTATACTGAAATCGCCAACATACTTCCTATAACAAATGATAATAGGCAGTCTAAAATCTCAGACCTCTAAGCTTTCAATATCGTACTAAAGCATTAGACATGGTCACGATCCTTATGAACCAAAAACAGACTGTACCTTGTGAAAAACTGACCGAAAACCAAAATTTTAGTTGGTCTGAAATGGTCGGTTTGGCTTTTCTTACACCCTTAGTCATGCGGATCACTTAAAACCAAATTTGAAGTATTTTTAATCATAAAAATTATACATATTGTCATTTCACGTGGATGACCATTTTTGTCAATACAACAAACCTAACTTGATGATTTTTTAAACTACAACCCAATTATGCAAATTCAAGTTTCTTGACAAATTGCTAATAGTGGATATAAACAACGGGTTGGGGCTAAGAGGTTGTTATGTCCATGAAAAGGCTATTACTATATATAGAGCTCTGGTAAATTCAAGATTTGAAGAGGGATAGGCTAATATAGATCTACTATTCAGCTTTTTGCAGTAAATACATCCCTCAAACTCATGCTGGAGTTTTCTGCTACCAAAACTATAGCTACTAATGTCTCATAGATGCCATTTACAGAAGACTAAGACTTACCACTGAAAATATCTTCTGAGCAGCTTTCTCCAAAACCCCTTCTGCATTACACAAAATAGGGTTATTATTCAAGAAGGCGGCATCTGAAATTTAATTCGACATGAAGAAGTATAGTACAGTCAAGATAATGCACATCAACACCATGTGGATTAGCTTGTTCAGACCCCAATTTCCTTTTCCCCCTTGAGGATGGTAAGTATTTACAAAACTGCTAGTTGATTAGGATACCTGAGGTCCTTTTGGAGATAACTGCAAGTTTTTCTTCCAACTCCTGCTTTTCAGAGGTGAGGGCATACATCCGGGCTTGTTCCTCTGCCAAACGCTGTTGCTCTTGCTGCCTCAGTAGTGACTCTTGCTATCATTTAAACCAGCCACGAGACAAATAAATAGATATTTCAAATATTAAAATAAGAAATTTTCAGAAGAAAGCTCTGAATTCTAACCTTTAACTGAGATTTCAAACTTGCTAGCTCTTTTTCCATGGATTGCATCTGATCTGGTAAAATCCCCATTGTACCCATGCCCCCAGGTAGACCACTCATTGCTTGTTGCTGTAATGAATTTAATTCTGCTCTCAATGCTGCTGCATCTTCCTCTGCCTATAACCAGAGAACTAATAAGCATGATACTTAGATTGGCATGCTTCGGAAAACTAACATAAATAGTATTTGCATACACGGTATTGTTCTTCTTCTGCTTCTTTTACTCGTTTTTTAATCGTGCGAAGTTGGGCTGAGAGATCCTCCTACACTACTAAAATATCAGAATTCGTTGGTGAAGCATAAATAAACAAATGTCAAATCTCAGATAATTACAACAATAACGTCAAGATGGTGTATACCCGTGCAACAACTGCAGCATCTTTTTCCATCGCAACATCTTTGAGAGCTTTTCTCAAGGATGGTACAGTATTCTGTTCCTGGAAATAAAATTTTTTTTGAAGGAATCAGAATATGTAAATAAAGAAACAAAACAGGAAATACCCTTAACTGATTGGAGTTCATATGCACTGACCAATGTAAACTGTAAGTGTCGCAGTAGATGTCAGGAACAGGAGAGAAAAAAAAAAATAAGAGTAAGTAGAATGATTTAGTCAATTTGAAAATATGGTCCTTGGTTCGTTGTGTTTTGCAAGGATGAGGAATTTGGACTAATTTTTTCATCTAATATAATCAATCACCATATAGACACTTACTATATATCACTCATAATTTTTAAATCAACAAAACAAATTTAATAATATTATCATGATTAGATGCAAACTCTCTTTAGTCCATTCCACACAATAAATATTGTAGTCTACAAAGACAAACCAGAAATGCTGTGTGTCTAACTCCAAAACATGCTAAGAAAAGTTCTTGTGGTCTATGCAGTTTTAACCCCACAAACAAGAAATCAGATGCACGAAAGAGAAATGAAAAAATGCATCCGATGTTGTAAGTCTGACATCATATATCCCTTGGATATGGGTTCAACTCCACTTAAGGAAATCTAATTTGCTCATTCTACAATTGAAGTTTTACTTTCAATAGACAATGAATACAAAATTGAAGGCTTTCTATTATTACCAGATCATTTAAACGCTTTTGAATCACATCACACTCTGCATCCTTCGTCTGAAGCTGAATGCAAGAAAAAAAATATACAAAATGATAAGACATTAGCCAGCTGATCGATTTAGAAGGCGAGTATGTATTTGTTTGTGACACCATAATACCTTGGAGGTCAATTGCTTGTTTTCTTTTTCCAAATGTGTGTTCTTTTTCTGCAGGTCTTTTAGCTGAGATACTAAACCAGTAACATCATTCTGCAATGGTGTTTACAAAATTATCAGAATCAGAATATATTAAAAAAATAAAAATAAAATGACAAATTTGTTCATGAATAGGCTTAAATTAAATCAAATCTCTCCAGAAGAGACCTTTTTTTTAAAGTTTTCTGATTGAGATGACAAAAAATAAATACAAGAAAATTCGTCATGAAAGAGCAAGCAATTGTAGATGTAATTATTGAAAATTGTGTAACGGCAAGGAGAGAGCATAGATGATACCTCTGAGAGTCGACTAGCGCTCTCGGATTTTGTGATTCCAGGAGGATCATCTGTTCGTAAATTTTCAAAAGCAAAGAAAGAGAGAATAAGACTTCAATATTCATTATAGCAATCAATATATATATTGTAGAAATTAAAATATAGAAGACAAGAAACCATTGGAAATCAAAGCATTGGTTAGATCGGGTCCAGAGGAGGCTTTGCTTAATCTCTCCGATGCTCTCTTTTGACGAATTTCTTCCAACTGCAACCAAAAAAAAACAAAAAATAATAAAAAACGCTAATAAATCGAAGAACTGCACAGAGATCGTATTAGATTGAGAAAAATGATATGAGGATCTGCACCGTTCGTCGAGCAAGAGAAGCGTGATGTGCGTTCATTTCCACACGATCGACGGCTTTGTCTTCGCAGAATCGTCGATTTGGTATTTTCCTAGAGAGAGAGAGAGAGAGATGTTCCCTGTAAAAGTTTTTCGATTCGGTTGGCCGGCGGTCGATCTGATCAACTCTCCAGAGGTTGAAGACAGGGGGTACGATTAGATTGGATTGGGTTTTGAAAAAAATGGCCACAATCTAGGCCTATCCACAATGAAACTATCTTAGGCCCATCTACAAGGTAAGCCCATTAATTGTATCTTGACTTTTTTATAAATTACATTGACGTCCCTAATTTCAAAGAAAATATAACAAGGCTTTTTTTTTTTTTTGTGTGTTACTGTGTATTTTTTTTTTTTTTTTGATGCATCGGAAATGAATATACTTTCTCCGTCCCAAATAATAGTCTCTGTGAGCAAATCTAATTTTTTTTTTTAGTATAATTATTGCACTTTAAAAAAAATAATTTTTCAAAATTACTCTTTGATAATACATTTTTGTGGGGAATATTAATTGTCATAATTGTACTTTTTATATTGTTAATGAATTTAAAAGAATTGTAAAATAAAAAATTCATATTATTTTAGTCATTGATTTTTTAAAATAAACTAATATTTTGGGAGAATAAAAAATGAAATAAGGGACTAATATTTTGGGACGAAAGAAATAATAGATTTTATTAGGTTTAACATATATTTTAGTAAGATTAAATGGATCAAAACTAGTGTAAATTATCAATAGGTCCTAATAATTGGACTTAATTCCCATCAAGTCCTATTGAAAATAAGTTTTAGTAAAATACTAAGACTAATTTTTTGTGACGATTTTTTACAAATGTTGTTAAAAATTGACAATTAGTGATATTTTTTTATCACGATTTTTATAAATTATCTCTAAAAATTCATAATTAGTGACGTTTTCTGATATGAACTTTTTAAACTATCGCGAAAAGTTGAAAATTAGTGATAATTTTTTTAAACTATCGTTGAAACTTATAATTAGTGATATTTTTATGACAATTTTTAAATTATCGATAAAAATTAACAATTAGTGATATTTTTATAATAGTGTTTGATGAAAAAAGTCAATTATCATATGACCTATTAAATAATAAGTTTACTTATTAAAATCTACATAAGTCCTCCTTAAAACCAATGTAGATAGTGTGAAACATTTATGCTATTATATTAAGTGAAGGCTGGGATGATTGAGTAGAGACTTGAACTTTGAATCTTATGTCTTAAAGAAATAGATTATTACTACTTGAGTAACACACAATGTATAATAAATAATTTGTTTTATTTTTACTTATTTAAATTGCACACATATCACATGTGCTAACCACTACTAAAAATAAACAAGACAAAATATATATTCTAGTGTAAAACATATGATAATTTTTTTTTCATTCATACAATTAATGAATTATTGATATAATTTTTTTAAAAAATATTATGTGAATTAAAATCTTTCGAATGTAATTATGATAAATTTGTAAAACCTAGGGACGCAATCGGTTCAGTACGGTCGGTATATAGATAAAAAATTACACCGAACCGATAATGTCGGTTTTATTATTTTGAACACTGATACAGACCGCTTCTCCCATCAAACCGCACCGAACCGAACTGATTGAAATGGTTCGGTTTGGTGCGATTTAATTGGTTTAGGATTTTTTAAACTTTAGTCACTTTTAAATATAATCATTAATCTATATAAAAATATTAAATTAGTTATTTGTCTACCATTCAAATATATCCAATCCATCCATTTAATACATTTCAATTTCTAAATTAACAAAAATAAAAACAAAAAAAGTTTAAAAATACTAAGGTTTCAATAATAATGAGTTAGAGTTAAAATTAATATAATAAGAGTTTACAAACTTAAGTTATAAAGATGATAAGGTTAATTAATTAAGGTTTATTATACTTATTAATATCATTATATTATTAGATTATATATATATATTATAAATGCAATATATGTTGAAACGGTCGGTTTCGGTTTAGATCGGTACACAATGTGTTTAAATCGATACCAAACTGAAAACCGAAAAAAATCAAATTAAAAAATCGCACATACCGATTCTTGTTAAAAAACAGACCAAATATAGTTGGTTTGGTTCGGTTCAATCGACTTGATCGATTTTTTCGATTTTTCTTACATCCCTAATAAAACCTATCATATATATTTTTTTAAATCTCAGAGGTCGGTGTAATTTACACTTTGTTTTCAAACAATGTTTGAATGATTAAAATTTGGAAGGGAAAAGAAATCTTATTACTAAGAATTCAAACCTAATAATTTAATATTTTAAGTAGCCTCATCCAATAGGTTAGTTACTACAATAGTTATTTTAACAAAAAAAAAATTCAAACTAGTTATATTTGGAAAGTTTTTGAAGGTATTTTAAACTGTTTGTGTGTATAAATATGTAAAATAAAAAGTGGCATTGAATTGGAGCACATTGATAAAAAAATGATTATATAAAATAAAAAGTATACATTTTTGTATTTGTTAACTAAAAAATGAAAAGTAGGGTTGGAGTTGGTTGTTTTCAAGCCTTAGCCAAATGATGCCTCATAATTTTTACTCAAAAAGGCATTCAAAATTCAAAATATATATAGGGATTGAATTTATCTTGAATGTTTTTTCTACTATATACAAAATTAAAGTCTATCTCATGCATTTAAATTTTAAACATTTTTCTAATAAAAACTCAGAATATATAGCATTCCTATAAGTTGAGTTTCTCTCATCCACCACATTAATCAACATGTTGAACCCAACTACTTCCAGCAAATTTGGTTCTAAGGTCAAGTTTGGCTATCCTAAATAAGTATACACTTTTTATCTTTTTATCTTTTTTTCATCACATCATCTCTCTACTTTTCTGCATATCTTTTCGTAAAAAAATAAAAAATACACTTATTTAGATCATCCCAAACAACCCCTAAATGTTGAATTTCTTAATGACATGTGACTTGTCTAATAATGTTTGTAAGGTAACACCACCATGTGCAGGCAAGCAATTAGTGGGGTGCCACCAAACATTCATTTTCCTTAATTCATGCTACCTTATTGCTTCTAAACCAAGGTTGGAACACAAATCCTTTTGAGATTTTAAATTTTTTTAAGGAATCTTTAACTTTATGTATAAGCTTTATACTGTGCCATTTTCAAAATTACTTCATGGTTAGCAAAGTTTGGGCCCAAGTGATCATATATGGGAAAAGAAAGGGGGTGAGAAATAAATAAAGAAATAGGATACCTTTTAGGACATCAATTCTATTTTATAACCAACACAACCAAACATAGTTGGGATTTGGAATTCTATTAATTCTTTCTCCTTTTCCTTTCATTTCCATTTCCTTTTCCATTTTCCTTCTCAAATCTCCCAACCAAACACAGCGTTAAGGAATCTTTAACTTTATGTATAAGCTTTATACTGTGCCATTTTCAAAATTACTTCATGGTTAGCAAAGTTTGGGCCCAAGTGATCAATGTTTTACATTTGAAAAAGAGGATGTGTGATGAGCACTTTTAGCTGTCACCAGATGTGTCCTCTGTTATTAATTTTTATTTACTACTTTGATAGGGTTGAATGGAATGGAATATAATAAAGCAAAAGAGGCTCTCTTTTTTATAATTTTTCACTTAATTTAAGCAATACTACATATTGTCTTAAATGTTTGACTGTGTTTTTGCCTGTTATTTTTAAAGTAAATTATACTTGTAGTTTTAATAATTTGTCTCGTGTTAGTTAATTTGGTGCTTCTAATGCTATTTGTATTAAATTTACTCTTAATTTTTTCATATTATATTAATCTATATATATAAGGAAAATGGTCTTTTTAAAAATAATGATTGTGAAAGTTCTAAACTCCCAAACTAATTGTGTTAATTTGTTAATTTTTAAAGAAATAAAAAAAAAATAAAATCTATTGGTTAGTCCCTTAAGTCAAAAATCCAAAAACAAAAAAAGTTCTAATTATCTACAATTTTGAATTTTAAAAATTTAAAACAATATGACAAGTCACCTCAATGTTGATCAAAACAATTCAAATAAAAAAAATAAGACACTAATTATCTATGATTTTGAATTTTAAAATTCAAAATAATATGGTAAGCTACTTTCATCCCACTCTCACATTTTCCGAAAATAATATAAATCTAAAATTTTAAAAACCCAATCAAATTAAAAATTCAATACATTTCTCTCTTTAAAATACTCAATATTTGATTTTTTTCCAGCCCGGCCAACTCCTCCCCAAATGTAATGATACCATGGTTATTCTCTCTCTTTGTCAATAGCCCAAACTTATTTCAAGTTTGTTTGTTTGCATTTATTTATTTATTTATTTTTGTAAATTTATATTTTCGTGTGAGTATTTTTTTTCTCTATATGACTTTTTTTTTCCAATGTATTTTTTTTCAACTAAATTGATAATAAATATATATTTGTTAACTATTTTTGTTTTGGGAGTTGATTTGAAGTTTTTGTTTTTGGGTGAATGTTCGTGTATTTTTTATATTGTTGTTATTATTTCTTTTGATATATGTGAAGTTATAATATAGTTATGTGCTTTTTTTTTTTCAAGAATAAGGCGTCTTATATTATTTTTTATGATTTGGCCATTTTTTAAATTTCTGAAACAAAATTTTCAAGTTTTTTATTTGAAAAAAATTAAAAACATTTAATTGACTTGCGCATCAATAAATAAAATTTTAAATAATGAATACTATTCCATAATTTATGGATTTAAAAAAAAAATTAACACTCATATATGGAATAAGAAAACTTAAAATCATGTATTTTTTTATTTTTAATTCTTTAAAACTTTAATTGTACCTTTTTATTTCTACAACATTATCTTTTTATATTTACAAAGATAAAAAACTAGACCGAAGTTTCATAATGGTTAGTGGAGGTGGTGAGCATGGCAATAATAAAGGTGATGATGAGCTTGGCCAGAACATTATTTAGGTGGGTTTTGAAAAGACGAATATTAAAAGAATAATAGATAGTTTGGGTAATGAATTAGTTTAGAAAACTAATATGTGATTGAGATTAAGTGTGAATTTTACCATATAAAAATTGAATATGAATCATATATTGTTTTTTATATATAATTTTGGGTACTTTTGTATAATTATAAAAAATTATTGTGATC